GCTCTTTGGCATTGGCATTGCAAGACGGCCAGTGCCAGTAACAATTGTTAAACGGGCCGAAGTTGTGCGTGGCGGCGACATATATATTCATGCGTTGCCATGTCTAAGTATAGAGGACATCATTTCGCCAGAGTAACAGGTGAAGCGTAAGTGGGTTTATAGTGACCAGTCACGGCAGTGGGACAGTATGGTTCAGACTGACAAAGAGCTCGTCCCTGTGATTATATCTAGCGAGGATGTGTGGGTGTAACACCGCCGGAGCTGGAATTTTAAGCCGAAAGTGCTTTCTATGTTCAATGATCCATTTGATGACCCAAACGTGTGCAACAATATATCATGAGGAGAAAGAATTCAAGCTATACACGATTCAGCGGACTATGTGGTAGCTCGCATGTGTAAGCGGGAGCGCCCGCTTTATACTTCTTCAGCTCCTGCTCCCCTACAGCCTGTCAAAACCTGCTATGACCTGCAATGTCTTGATAGAGCCTCTCAGACACTTAAGGTGGTATGGAAGGGTGGCTGAGGACTTTGGGGACATCCTAAAAATACTACTTAGGATTACCGATGGTCATTGATTTTTTTTGTGTGAGTACCTTAGTGCAAGATGATAATTTACGCAAATTTTGATGACGTAATCATGACGTCATCTCGAGTTATGAGCCACGCCCCTTTTTTAGAAAAATCAATTTTTCTGGCCAGCGCTTTGGTTTTTATTCACCATATTTTGTTGAAAGGCACACACTAGTAATAGGAACAAACGTATGCGAGCATTTTTTCATATCTCAAAGTGTTGATTTTTTATGAATTTTTTTTCGTAAATGTCAACAGTGCCATGCGCCAGCACCCCTCCCCAACATATAAAGCGGCGCAGTGTGTCGGCCTCGCATACGATTTTAGTTTATAAGCTTATCTTTAAATAAATACCTACCTTTTTTGTCTCTTTCCATGAACATTTTTTCCACAGTTTCATTCTTAAAATGCTGTATATGTCGTAGGGGTTACATAATGTCCATTTTGAAGCCCGAAAGAGCCGAAATCGCCAATTTTTTGTCGCCATTCCAAGGGCGCCCATCCCTCCCACCGAAAAATGGGTCATTGGCCTGTCAGCACGCTGTATTTAGCTTACTGCGGCGCTATTTGGAAAAACAGGCCGGGGATATGTCCAGTAAAAAGAACAGCCAAAAAGAACGCTAAGATTTCGCGCGAGTAGGGGTCACGTGACTCACCCAAAATGGCGGATGGCGTGGCTTGTTTACGAGCGGAGAAAGCTGTGCGCTTTGCGCCAGCATTTGGGCCGGTAGACGATCTTTTTCACGGCCGTATCCTACGTAGATTTGCAGATGAAGGTTTATGGACTATTCTGAGACCTTATTGGAGAAAATCTGCCGGGGTATTCTGGAGTTACGGACTTGTTTTTTAGGCCTACCCCCAGAGGAGATTGACGATCAGCAAGATCACAACACTGAAAAGTTATCGCGCGATACCGGAGTAGATAGCCCTGGAAAAAAGCTTGCCCGGACGTGGTATGAGATTATGAGCGAGTATAATTTCGTTGATTATGTGAATTTACGTTGCACGTTGTCCTAGACTTGTGGAAATAATTTTCACGCACGACGTTCTATGTTCTATCTGAAAAGTACGGACTATCTCTGTAAATCTGTTGGAACTGATTTTTTTGTAAGCGGCTACTATTTGCTGTATGCTGTAAATCGTAAAAGATTATTGTTAGCAGTTACCGTAAGATTATGTAAAAATTCTGCTGAAGTTTGTAAGTATCGTATTTTTTAATAAAAACGTAGATTTTATAAAAATTACTAGTAGTTCTTATCATGTCTGTTCACTAGAACGTAACGTTAACTAGTAGTTACAAACGTGTTGCAGTCGATACAAACTCAGAATAATAAGACAGTGCACAGGTAGAGACGTGTTTTTATTCGGTAGAAAATTACTTAATGAGTTGTCGGTGAAAATCATGAAAGAACACAAAGGATAACGCCGCATAATGACGGCCGAGTATGAACTACCAAGCGCGGCTCTTTATGCATGCAGTGACCCGGTCCGCCAGGCCGCTCATAACTAAACCAAGATCTAACTTGTGGCTCAAAGCAGACAGCTTCGTTTCTTTTGGCAGTCGAATGTTTTTATATAGGAAGTTGTCAGATTATTTCTGGCGTTTTTGGTGATTTGTGTGGCTGCTTATCTCTGGTTGTGTGTTGCAACTTGACAACATTTTGCCGATACGAAGTGTGATAAACAATGGAAACGGCTTGTGTTTTCAGAAAATTATTATTCTTTGCATTTGGCAGGTTTTTACCCAAAACATTTTGCAAACAACTGACATCAAACGCTCAGTAAAACTCTCTTTTCCAGTGTCTTTTCCCTTCCCAAAAATTATGAAAGTGAAGCTCTCAGTTCACGTAATGACCAGCGAGCCTGATTGGTCGAGCGGCGGAGTAGCTTTTAAAAATAATGTGCACACCCCCACTGGGGCCTGGCTGGAGCGTGAAAAAAATGCACAATTTGGCGGTCAATTTGGCTGCCAAAATGTGGCCATAGTGACAAGATGAAAGAAAATTATAAAAATAGACCCAAAAGACTACCATATCAGATAGAGTTCGTAGTATTTCTAAATATGCCTCAGCTATCCTTCTGGACCACCTTAAGCTTCTAGGGAGGCTAAGTTTGTTGTTTTGAGGGCACGACCCCCGACCTCTGGACCAGGAAAGAGTTAATAAGTAACCGTCAAGGGTATACGTCACCCAGGACGCTGTTGCTAAGCAGCCAGCAGCCCGTCACCGGCCGGTTCCGCCCCTCGGCCCCGGCCGGGCTATCCCCTTGGGCCGCTTGCCCACGCGCTAGATAAGGTGACAGGATTAGGTCATTAGATAAACGATACCCCACAGTGCACGCGGACCTTGAATTGAGTTATGTACCTAAATATGTTCTCAGTACTCATAATATGTATTCCTTTTGCGTACTATGTATCTATTCTCTCGTATTTTTGAATATGTACTATGGAAATGTTAGCCGGATCCCCGTTCGTATACAGTATTGTAAGCGTGCCTTTGTCGACTGTCTGCCCAGTGATGGACAGGACAGATGTTTGGACTGCAGCATCCCGGTCTTGGCGGCTTCGAGCCACCCTCCCGACATATCGGGTCACCAAGGTCTAAGGAATCAATTAGTCAATAGAGATAAGGATCGCGATAGTGGCCTTTGGGCCGGACAACCTGTTATTCTTGTCAAACTGGGATCCAGGATAGCGTTGTACCAATGGAAACAGAAGAAAAACTCATTGTAACTTACAGGATAGTACTTATGACTTATATTTTTATATTTACGGGCCAAGTGGATGTTGGAACAGCAGAAGGAACATGATTGTAACCCTGTACCTAATCCTGAACCGGTGGCAAGGAAAGGTTGGCACCTGTTGCGCTCCCCTACAACAGGGTGGGCTAGTCCAGAAAACTTTGACAAGCACATTGGACCTTACGATATAAAGTTTCGGGTGGGCTAACCCTCTCGAAATCCGAGGGGTAAGGCTTTCGGTGCCCTACTTTGACCAAAGTTCATGAACCCGAGTTCGTGACCCCAGGGTCACTCACGAAAAATGAGAAAATAATCATTTGACAGGTAGTTCGAGCATTGTCTAGACGAAAACTGCCAGTGAAAGTATCCAATTTTGACACGTTTTACATATCTTCTTCGTCCAATCCCGACGAAGTACCTTACGTGATTTTGACACATCTTTGACAGAGATTACCAAATTTGGGGGGATGGGAGTGGACAGAACTTTGAGAGCATAAAAATGGTTGCTTCTCCACAAACGGAGAGATTTTGGTAAGACCTTGAAGAGAGAAGCCAGAGAGAAGCCAGAGAGAAGCGAGAGAGACTAGAGACTTGGTAAGAACTTGAGAAGTCGAAGGAGAGAAGCCAGAGACTTGGTAAGAACTTGAGAAGCCCGAACATATCCGTGACTTGAGCCTGCTAGACTTGCGCTAGGACCAGCCAGCTTTTCCGCCACCGACTGCTGCACTTCCAACATCCCGCCGGCCGTGGACTTTTCAAATAAAATCTTGGAACGGGAATTGGCTGACTTTTCGTGGTTCTTCCTGACGTCCCACCGGCCAGCACACAGCGGGGACGTCAGCCTCGTCTGCCGTGTCCTTACACATGTACTGTCAACAAAGGCAACTGCATGTCATTTGAACATTCATCAGGGAGCACAAATGACCTGTAAAGCCCCTGTCACACATTCACGAATCTGGCCTCCCAAACACTAGCCGAACGCCCCCATACCCAACCATGGTTACAAGTAGGTCAGCACAAAGTCGGCAGGTGTGACTTTGGCTACTATTTGGCTGCGCCAGCCGAATATTTCAAAATACTTAAAACATTCAGGGGTGGTTGGCTGTAATTTAGCAGAACACCAGCCAACCATTCGGGAGTAAGTCAACAGTGTTATTGGCGTGTTTGGGGATCTAATTTCACTCAAGGCTCACTCAAATTCGTCACGATTCGTACAGAAAAGTAGACGTGACCTAAATCTTTTCATGTTGCTCCCGAATGTCAGCCGAACTTGGGAACAAATTCGGGGAAAGGGCGCGAATGTGTGACAGGGGCTTAACAATTTTAAAAGTCCACGGAAAACAACGAGCCCCTGGCATAACGCCATGCGAGAAGCACAGGAACTGCAGCGGTCGATGAGATGTTGCCAACTTTCGCTTTGAGCGGCTTTCGTGCTTTCAAAACTTTGACAAATCACTCAATGGTTTTTCAGTGAGCTTTCCATGATCTCCGAGGTCTTACAATTATCTCACGATAATCTCACTGATCTTCCATTGATCTTTAAAGTCTTCCAGTAGTGTAATGATGACCTCAAGGACCAATGACATTTGGTAACTTATCGGTTGCCCAACGGTCCGCATCTCAAGTCAACAAAACAATAGAAGCTGCCAAATAAACTCATTTTCAATTTTATTCTATTGTTCTCAGGCAGCATGCCGGGATCATCCCCGCGCAGGTTGGAGGCACTCGCCCTGTGCTTCCTCGTGTTCCTGTTACCGGGCGTCTCCGGATGTGGAGGCAACCTGACGGCTCCCTCTGGAGGTCCTGTCACGTCACCGAACTACCCAAGTAACTATGGCAACGGCCAGAACTGCGAGTGGCTGATCACCGTCCCGGCAGGAAGCACGATCCGTCTCACGTTTGACAGCTTCGACGTGGAGCAAGATTATGACTTTCTGCGCATCTACGATGGAGACAGTGCAAGTGCGGCGGCGTTACAGGAGTAAGACCCTAAACTGTAATCTATTGAAAAGAACTACCTCATATCAATGCTGCAGCTAGCAATATGTGGGGGTCGTGTGGCGTAGCGGCAGAGTGCTCGACTGGGAACCAAGAGGTCCCGGGTTCGAGTCCTGACATGCCACCGATCTTATGCCTTTGGGAGAGTACTCTCCAAGCAGATTTTTTTGATTTCCGGTATTTTTGGCGTGTTTTTAGACTTTTTATCGGGGTTTGAAAAAGTCTAAAAACACGCCAAAATAACCCCAGACTCTGTTTGGAGAGTAGGGAAAGGCACTTTACACGACTATTGTCACTTAACTCACAGGTGAAAATGAGTATTGTCCTCTTCCGTATTTGTCATCTATCTGCGTTGGTGACGGCATAAAATAATTAAGCTGATATAACTTGAGTGTGCGTCACCATGTCTGGTCATGAAATGTTGGTATGAAAAAAATGGTGATGACCAATCTGTGGTGTATATGAATACATGTTCCGAAACATCCTTATGAAAAGCTTCGATTGTGTTGTGTGCTTTTTTGGGGGGGTGGGGGGTGTGAACCAGACCTCATTGAGACATAGATTGGCTCAATTACTATTTATTCTTGGATCTCTAGGTTAACGGGTCTGCAGTCAGTCAGCCCTATCGCCAGCACATCTAACGTGATGTTCCTGAGGTTCACATCTGACAAAAGTAAAGAACGCCAGGGGTTCAGTTTCTCCTACACAAGTCACAATCCGTCTGGTAAGGAGTACATTGTGTGTGTGTGTGTGTGTGTGTGTGTGTGTGTTTGTGTTTGTGTGTGTTTGTGTGTGTGTGTTTGTGTGTGTGTGTGTGCCACGGTGTGTGTCTGTGTGTGTCTGTGTCTGTGTGTATGTATGTATGTATGTGTACATGTATATATGTATGTGGTTTAGCACGTTAACTCAAGAAGTTACGCCATAATTTGAATCTGGGGTGCCTGAAAATGGTAACAGATTCACTGAATGAATGTAACTTCGTATTCCTGGTAAAGGAGGGCCTGCATGCCCTTTTTACCTCCATGAAAAATGGAGGCATTGTTTTTGGCGCGTCTGTGTGTGTGTCTGTGTGTCTGTCTCTCTGTGTGTGTGTTTGCGTTTCCGCACATTTGTAGTCACCATAACTTTATAACGCCTTTATGGATTGTGATGATATTAAGTATACAGGTAAGTCTTAGGAAGACGAAGGTCAAGGTCAAATATTTGCCTCCTGGTGGATGACATTGGTACTGCAGCAGAACTTCCGGTTTTTGTATCTTTTGTCCTGAACATGCTATGGTTTTGGGTTTCTGGTGACAGATAGCCTATCTTGTCAGGAACAAGTGGTGTAAGTTTGGTCCCCCTAGCAGCTTGTTCTGGAACTGCAGGTTAGTTTCTGGTTACAATTTTTAAAGCCAATAAGTCCAGATAGCAACAACATATTTTCATCATTTTTGGTATGTAGGTAGCTGAGAGAGAGTTGTACATAATTAAATGCAAATTTTTCAAATGAGGACCTAATTTTCATAATTAATGAGGAAATTCTATAATTACAGTGTTTTAAATAATGGTACTACTATACATGTAATTTTTTCATCTGTGGCAGGTGGCACATCAACAGATACCAATTATGAAAATGATGATCTAATTTGCATAATTAATGTGAAAATTTTGTGACTCCTTATTGGTGAACGATTGGTAAATGCATAAAGAAACACGTGCAATTGACTTCTACTTATCACAACAGCTGTCTTCCTAGATATATCCAAAGCGTTTGATAAAGTCTGGCACGCGGGGTTAATTTTCAAATTAGAGCAACTAGGAATAACCGGATCTCTTCTAGCTTGGATCTCTTCTTACTTAAACGACCGACAACAGCGTGTCGTGATTAACGGCACCTGTTCTGATTTGGCGCCTGTTGATGCGGGCGTGCCACAGGGCTCGCTCTTAGGCCCGTTGCTTTTTCTCGTTTTTATTAACGATTTAGTTGATGACTTGGTAACAGACGGCCGTCTATTCGCCGACGATAATTCACTGACCGAAGTTGTTAGAGATCCTGTTATTTCAGCTGATAGACTTAATCATGACCTCAAAATAGTGGAAAACTGGGCAGACCAATGGCTGGTGACCTTTAACCCACTCAAAACTGAACTTATTACATTTTCATCCAAACGTATAAAAATTGCCCACCCACCATTGTATTTTAAAGGAGTTCAGTTAATGGAAGTCCCTTCCCACAAACACCTCGGCCTACATCTTACCCCTAATCTATCATGGTCATTACATGTTTCAATTATAACTGCTACCGCGGTGAAACGGATTAATCTTTTAAAAAGAATAGTATCCTTTGTTCCACTAAAAACTCTTGAAACCTTATATAAAGTAATTATAAGGCCATTACTGGAGTATGCCGACGTTGTTTGGGACGGATTAACTGGTAAAGACTCTGACTTAATTGAATCTGTTCAACTCAATGCAGCTCGGATATGTACTGGCGCAATGAGAGGAACAAATAGTAATAGCATCTTGTCTGAGGTTGGCTAGGAAACCATGCCATGTAGGCGTTAAAAGCATAAACTTGTAAACTTTTATATAATTATCAAAGAATTAGCACCAAAATACTTACAGGAATTGGTACCACTACAAACCCGTGACTCCACCCCCTACAGTCTCCGTACTGATCAGAATTACGTCTTAATTCCTGCTAGAACTGAGAAATTCAAAAGATCTTTTCTGCCTACTTCCATTGTTTCCTGGAATAACTTGCCATTAACTACACGAGCATCAACATCAATTGCCATCTTTAAAAAAGAGTTGGAGACGTTTTATCACAGCCCTCACACTCAACCTCACTTCTCCCACGGTCCGAGAAACCCAGCTATCCACCTTACCAGACTCAGACTCAACCGCAGTCAGTTAAACTTTCACCTGTTCCAACATCAATGTGTGCCCAGTCCTGCGTGCAAATGTGGTCACTTCAACGAAACAGCTGTACACTACTTCCTACACTGCCCACTGTACACTGACGAACGCATTGACATGTTATCATCTCTAACTAACATTCTGCCATTTGACACAAACAACGTCACCGACAACACTTTATATTCAACCATTCTCAGGGGTAACCCCTCATTGTCGTTTGTCAACAACTGTAACATATTTGATGTGGTTTTCAACTTTATTTTGCAGACAGGACGTTTTGTTTGATTTAGTTGATTCATTTTGATTTGTACACCAGCCTACTATGTACCCTTGTCATTTCTTATTATTATTATTACTTTGTTTTATTGTATCCTTTTATGTGTGAGGAGAGGGCTGAGATAAGTTTTATAACTTTTTGCCTCATCCTCGGAAAATAAATGTGAATAAAAAAAATAAAGAATTCAAGCTATACACGATTCTATCGGCGCGGCATTACAGCTGATTTTGTGGTAGCTCGCATGTACTGTCAACAAAGGCAACTGCATGTCATTTGAACATTCATCAGGGAGCACAAATGTCACGTCACGATTCGTACAGAAAAGTAGACGTGACCTAAATCTTTTCATGTTGCTCCCGAATGTCAGCCGAACTTGGGAACAAATTCGGGGAAAGGGCGCGAATGTGTGACAGGGGCTTAACAATTTTAAAAGTCCACGGAAAACAACGAGCCCCTGGCATAACGCCATGCGAGAAGCACAGGAACTGCAGCGGTCGATGAGATGTTGCCAACTTTCGCTTTGAGCGGCTTTCGTGCTTTCAAAACTTTGACAAATCACTCAATGGTTTTTCAGAGAGCTTTCCAAAATCTCCGAGGTCTTGCAATCATCTCACGATGATCTCAGTGATCTTCCATTGATCTTTAAAGTCTTCCAGTAGTCTTATGATGACCTCGATGACCAATGATACTTGGTAATTTATCGGTTGCCCAACGGTCCGCATCTTTGAGCGTGAAAAGTCAACAAAACAATAGAAGCTGCCAAATAAACTCATTTTCAATTTTATTCTATTGTTCTCAGTGTTCCTGTTACCGGGCGTCTCCGGATGTGGAGGCAACCTGACGGCTCCCTCTGGAGGCCCCGTCACGTCACCGAACTACCCCAGTAACTATGGCAACGGCACGAACTGCGAGTGGCTGATCACTGTCCCGGCAGGAAGCACGATCCGTCTCACGTTTGACAGCTTCGACGTGGAGCAAGATTATGACTTTCTTCGCATCTACGATGGAGACAGTGCAAGTGCGGCGGTGTTACAGGAGTAAGACCCTAAACTGTAATCTATTGAAAAGAACTACCTCATATCAATGCTGCAGCTAGCAATATGTGGGGGTCGTGTGGCGTAGCGGCAGAGTGCTCGACTGGGAACCAAGAGGTCCCGGGTTCGAGTCCTGACATGCCACCGATCTTATGCCTTTGGGAAAGGTACTCTCCAAGCAGATTTTCTGGATTTCCGGTATTTTTGGCGTGTTTTTAGACTTTTTATCGGGGTTTGAAAAAGTCTAAAAACACGCCAAAATAACCCCAGACTCTGTTTGGAGAGTAGGGAAAGGCACTTTACACGACTATTGTCACTTAACTCACAGGTTAAAAAGAGTATTGTCCTCTTCCGTATTTGTCATCTATCTGCGTTGGTGACGGCATAAAATAATCAAGCTGATATAACTTGAGTGTGCGTCACCATGTCTGGTCATGAAATGTTGGTATGAAAAAAATGGTGATGACCAATCTATGGTGTATATGAATACATATTCCGAAACATCCTTATGAAAAGCTTCGATTGTGTTGTGTGCTTTTTTGGGGGGTGGGGGTGTGAACCAGACCTCATTGAGACATAGATTGGCTCATTTACTATTTATTCTTGGATCTCTAGGTTAACGGGTCCGCAGTCAGTCAGCCCTATCGCCAGCACATCTAACGTGATGTTCCTGAGGTTCACATCTGACAAAAGTAAAGAACGCCAGGGGTTCAGTTTCTCCTACACAAGTCACAACACGTCTGGTAAGGAGTACATTGTGTGTGTGTGTGTGTGTGTGGGTGTGTGTGTGTTTGTGTGTGTGTGTGTGTACATGTGTGTGTGTATGTTTGTGTGTGTGTGTGTGTGTGTGTGTGTGCCACGGTGTATGTATGTGTGTGTGTATGTCTGTGTGTATGTATGTATGTGTATATGTATATATGTATGTGGTTTAGCACCTTAACTCAAGAAGTTACGCCATAATTTGAATCTGGGGTGCCTGAAAATGGTAACAGATTCACTGAATGAATGTAACTTTATATGCCTGGTATAGGGGGGCCTGCATGCCCTTTTTACCTCCATGAAAAATGGAGGTATTGTTTCTGGCGCGTCTGTGTGTGTGTCTGTGTGTGTGTGTGTGTGCGTGTGTTTGTGTTTCCGCACATTTGTAGTCACCATAACTTTATAACGCCTTTATGGATTGTGATAATATTTGGTATGCAGGTAAGTCTTAAACAACGGTCACAACCCGCCGTACGTGCTTTTTGTCCGTACGTTTTTGGGAGGCTACGTCTGCTACGTTTTTTATGAAAACGTAGGGAATGAGTGGCGTCGACGCACGTCACTCGCACGTCAATCGCACGGTTGCGCAAGGTGTAAGAGTGTGGTCTGCACGTTACGTCTGGCCGAGAGCGGTTGCGTGCATTCTACGTTGCGCAAGTGGTAACTGAGTTGTACGTGCTTTCAACGTACGATCTCCGTGCGATTGCAACTTTACCGTAAGGAGGCCGTACTCACATGTGCTGCTTCCGCACTGCACGTACGGGGCACGCACGTCGCTCGTACTCGCACGCACGGGTGGTGAATCCGCAGACCGCACGTAGAAAAAGTTTTACATGCACGTGTCTACGGCGTGTCTGCATGCTCCCAAATCCGTAGGATTCCGTACGGAGGTGGTACTCACCACGCACGGATGCCCTACGATTGCCCACGTTTTTGCACGTAGACAGCGCGCAGAAGCACGTACGGCGGGTTGTGACCGTCGCTTTAGGAAGACGAAGGTCAAGGTCAAATATGGGCCTCCTGGAAGATGACCTTTGTACTGCAGCAGAACTTCCGGTTTTTGTCTCTTTTGTCCTGAACATGCTATGGTCTTGGGTTTCTAGTGACAGATAGCCTATTTTGTCAGAAACCAGTGATGTAAGTTTGGCATCCCTAGCAGCTTGTTCTGGAACTGCAGGTTAGTTTCTGGTAAAAACTTTTAAAGCCAAGTCCAGAACAACGTATTTTTATCATTTTTGGTATGTAGGTAGCTGAGAGAGAGTTGTGCATAATTAAATGCAAATTATGCAAATGTGGACCTAATTTGCATAATTAATGAAAAATTCTATAATTACAGTGTTTTATATAATGGTACTGCTTTACATGTAATCTATTTATCTGTGGCAGGTGGAGCATCAACAGATACCAAATATGCAAATGACGATCTAATTTGCATAAATAATGTAAAAATTTTGTGACTCTTTATTGGTGAACGATTTGTAAATGCATAAAGAAATACGTGCAATTGACTTCTACTTATCACAACAGCGACACCTATCCGTTGTGAAAGGTCATTGTCTTCTTGCAAATGTGGTAGAAGGTCAGCTTGGGTCCGCATGAGAGGGTGGAAAGACTGTGCTTTGCTAGAATGAAGCATTGTGATTTTGACCTATTTTCTGTTATTACCGTTCAGTAATCCCTACATCGCCCTTTACGACTGTGGAGAACAACACCCCACAGGCCCCCGCAAGTACGACTGTGGAGAACAGCATTCCACAGGCCATCACAGGAACGACTGTGGAGAACCGTACCTCACAGGCCCCCGCAAGTACGACTATGCAGTACAACACCACACAGGACCCTGCAAGCACGGCTGTGGAGAACAGCACCCCACAGGTCACCAAAAGTACGACTGTGGAGAACAGCACCCCACAGGTCACCAAAAGTACGACTATGGAGAACAGCACCCCACAGGCCACCACAGGTACGACTATGGAGAACAGAACCGCGCAGGACCCCGCAACTACGACTATGCAGTACAACACCACACAGGACCCCGCAAGCACGGCTTTGGAGAACAGCACCCCACAGGCCACCAAAAGTACGACTATGGAGAACAGCATGCCACAGGTCACAACAGGTATGACTGTGGAGAACAGCACCCCACAGGCCACCACAGGCACGACAGTGGAGAACAGCACCCCACAGGCCACCACAGGCACGACTTTGGAGAACAGCACCCCACAGGCCACCACAGGAACGACTGTGGAGAACCGTACCTCACAGGCCACCACAGGAACGACTGTGGAGAACAGCACTTTACAGGCCCCCGCAAGTACGACTGTGGAGAACAGCACCCCACTGGCCATAACAGGTACGACTGTGGAGAAAAGCACCCCACAGGCCCCCGCAAGTACGACTATGGAGAACAGCACCCCACAGGCCACCAAAGGTACCACTGTGGGGAACAGCACCCCACAGGCCCTAACAGGTACGACTCTGGAGAACAGCACCCCACAGGCCCCCGCAAGTACGACTGCGGAGAACAGCACCCCAAAGGCCACCACAGGTACGACTGTGGAGAACAGCACCCCACAGGCCATCACAGGTACGACTGTGGAGAACAGCACCCAACAGGCCCCCGCAAGTACAACTGTGGAGAACAACACCCAACATGTCACCACAGGAAAGACTGTGGAGAACAGCACCCGACAGGCCACCACAAGTACGACTGTGGAGAACAGCACCCCACAGGCCACCACAGGTACGACTGTGAAGAAAAGTCTCTCAGAGGTCGCCACAGGTACGACTATGGAGAACAGCACCCCACAGGCCCCCGCAAGTATGAGTATGCAGTACAACACCACACAGGACCCTGCAAGCACGGCTGTGGAGAACAGCACCCCACAGGTCACCAAAAGTACGACTGTGGAGAACAGCACCCCACAGGTCACCAAAAGTACGACTATGGAGAACAGCACCCCACAGGCCACCACAGGTACGACTATGGAGAACAGAACCGCGCAGGACCCCGCAACTACGACTATGCAGTACAACACCACACAGGACCCCGCAAGCACGGCTTTGGAGAACAGCACCCCACAGGCCACCAAAAGTACGACTATGGAGAACAGCATGCCACAGGTCACAACAGGTATGACTGTGGAGAACAGCACCCCACAGGCCACCACAGGCACGACAGTGGAGAACAGCACCCCACAGGCCACCACAGGCACGACTTTGGAGAACAGCACCCCACAGGCCACCACAGGAACGACTGTGGAGAACCGTACCTCACAGGCCACCACAAGTACGACAGTTGAGATCAGCACCCGACAGGCCACCACAAGTACGGCTGTGGGGAACAGCACTCCAGAGGCCCCCGCAAGTACGACTGTGAAGAACAGCACCCCACAGACCTTCGCAAATACGACTGTGGAGAACAGCAGCCCAGAGGCCACCACAGGTACAACTGTTGAGAACAGCAGCACACAGGCCCCCGGAAGTACGACTGTGGAGAACAGCACCCCACAGGCCTCCGCACGTACGACTGTGGAGAACAGCACCCCACAGGCCCCCGCAGGTACGACTGCGGAGAACAGCACCCCACAGGCCACCTCAGGTACGACTGTTGGGAATAGCACCCCACAGGCCCTAACAGGTACGACTGTGAAGAACAACACCCCACAGTTCACCACAGGTACCACTTTGGGAAACAGCACCCCTCAGGTCCTAACAGGTACGACTGTTGAGAACAGCACCCCACAGGACCCCGCAAGTACGACTGCTGAGAACAGCACCCCAAAGGCCACCACAGGTACGACTGTGGAAAACAGCACCCCACAGGCCCCCGCAAGTACGACTGTGGAGAACAGCACCCCACAGGCCACCACAGGTACGACTGTGGAGAAAAGCCTCTCAGAGGTCGCCACAGGTACGACTATGGAGAACAGCACCCCACAGGCCACCACAGGTACGACTGTGGAGAACAGCACCCCACAGGCCCCCGCAGGTACGACTGCGGAGAACAGCACCCCACAGACCCCCGAAAATACGACTGCGGAGAACAGCAGCCCACAGGCCACCTCAGGTACTACTGTTGGGAATAGCACCCCACAGGCCCTAACAGGTACGACTGTGAAGAACAACACCCCACAGTTCACCACAGGTACCACTTTGGGAAACAGCACCCCTCAGGTCCTAACAGGTACGACTGTTGAGAACAGCACCCCACAGGACCCCGCAAGTACGACTGCTGAGAACAGCACCCCAAAGGCCACCACAGGTACGACTGTGGAAAACAGCACCCCACAGGCCCCCGCAAGTACGACTGTGGAGAACAGCACCCCACAGGCCACCACAGGTACGACTGTGGAGAAAAGCCTCCCAGAGGTCGCCACAGGTACGACTATGGAGAACATCACCCCAGAGGCCACCACAAGTACGACTGTTGAGAACAGCACCCCACAGGCCACCACAGGAACGACTGTGGAGAACAGAACCCCACAGGCCACCACGGGTACGACTGTAGAGAACAGCACCCAACAGGCCCCCGCAAGTACGACTATGGAGATCATCACCCCAGAGGCCACCACAAGTACGACTATGGAGAAAAGCACCCCACAGGGCACCACAGGAACGACTGTGGGGAACAGCACCCCACAGGCCACCACGGGTACGACTGTGGAGAATAGCACCCAACAGGCCCCCGCAAGTACGACTGTGGAGAACAGCACCCCACAGGCCACCACAGATATGACTGTGGAGAACAGCACCCTACAGGCCCCCGCAAATACGAATGTGGAGAACAGCACCCCACAGGCCACCATAGGAACGACAGTGGAGAACAGCACCCCACAGGCCACCACAGGTACGACTGTGAAGAAAAGCCTCTCACAGGTCGCCACAGGTACGACTATGGAAAACAGCACCCTACAGGCCACCAAAAGTACGATTGTGGAGAACAGCACCCCACAGGCCACGACAAATACGACTGTGGAGAACAGCACCCCACAGGCCACCACAGGAATGACTGTGGGGAACAGCACCCCACATGCCCTTACAAGTACGACTGGGGAGAACAGCACCCCACAGGCCACCACAGCAACGACTGTGAAGAACCGTAGCTCACAGGCCACCACAGGAACGACTGTGGAGAACAGCACTTTACAGGCCCCCGCAAGTACGACTGTGGAGAACAGCACCCCACTGGCCATAACAGGTACGACTGTGGAGAAAAGCACCCCACAGGCCCCCGCAAGTACGACTATGGAGAACAGCACCCCACAGGCCACCAAAGGTACCACTGTGGGGAACAGCACCCCACAGGCCCTAACAGGTACGACTCTGGAGAAGAGCACCCCACAGGCCCCCGCAAGCACGACTGCGGAGAACAGCACCCCAAAGGCCACCACAGGTACGACTGTGGAGAACAGCACCCCACAGGCCATCACAGGTACGACTGTGGAGAACAGCACCCAACAGGCCCCCGCAAGTACAACTGTGGAGAACAACACCCAACATGTCACCACAGGAAAGACTGTGGAGAACAGCACCCGACAGGCCACCACAAGTACGACTGTGGAGAACAGCACCCCACAGGCCACCACAGGTACGACTGTGGAGAACAGCACCCAACAGGCCCCCGCAAGTACGACTGTGGAGAACAGCACCCCACAGGCCAACACAGATACGACTGTGGAGAACAGCACACCGAAGGCACCCGCAAGTATGACTGTGGAGAACAGTACCCCACAGGGCACCATTGGTACGACAGTGGAGAACAGCGCCCAGAGGCCACCACAGGTACAATTATGAAGAAAGCCTCTCAGAGGTTGCCACAGGTACGACTATGGAGAACAGCACACCAAAGGCCACCACAAGTACAACTATGGAGAACAGCACCCCACAGGCCACCACAAGTACGACTGTGGAGAACAACACCCCACAGGCCACCACAGGGTCGACTGTGGAGAACCGTACCTCACAGGCCACCAAAGGAACGACTGTGGAGAACAGCACTTCACAGGCCCCCGCAATTACAACTGTGGAGAACAGCACCCCACAGGCCACCACAGGAACGACTGTGGAGAACAGCACCCCACAGGCCACCACAGGTACGACTGTGGCGAACAGCACCCCACAGGCCACCAGAGGTACTACTGTGGAGAAAAGTCTCACCAGAGGTCGCCACAGGTACGGCTATGGAGAACAGCACCCCACAGGCCACCACAAGTACGACTGTGGAGAACAGCACCCCTCAGGCCACCACAGGTACGACTGTGGAGAACAGCACCCCACAGGCCATCACAGCTACGACTGTGGAGAACAGCACCCAACAGGCCCCCGCAAGTACGACTTTTGAGAACAGCACCCCACAGGCCCCCGCAAGTACGACTGTGGATAACAGCACCCAACATGTCACCACAGGTAAGACTGTGGAGAACAGCGCCCGACAGGCCACCACAAGTACGACTGTGGAGAACAGCACCCCACAGGCCACCACAGGTACGACTGTGAAGAAAAGTCTCTCAGAGGTCGCCACAGGTACGACTATGGAGAACAGCACCCCACAGGCCCCCGCAAGTATGACTATGCAGTACAACACCACACAGGACCCTGCAAGCACGGCTGTAGAGAACAGCAACCCACAGGCCACCATAGGTACGACTATGGAGAACAGCATGCCGCAGGTCACCACAGTTATGACTGTGGAGAACAGCACCCCACAGGCCACCACAGTTACGACTGTGGAGAACAGCACCCCACAGGCCCCCGTAAGTACGACTGTGGAGAACAGCACCCCACAGGCCACCACAGGAACGACTGTGGAGAACAGCACCCCACAGGCTATCACGGGTACGACTGTGGAGAACAGCACCCAACAGGCCCCCGCAAGTACGACTGTGGAGAACAGCACCCCACAGGCCAACACAGATACGACTGTGGAGAACAGCACACCGAAGGCACCCGCAAGTATGACTGTGGAGAACAGTACCCCACAGGGCACCATTGGTACGACAGTGGAGAACAGCGCCCCAGAGGCCACCACAGGTACAATTATGAAGAAAAGCCTCTCAGAGGTCGCCACAGGTACGACTATGGAGAACAGCACCCCACAGGCCACCACAAGTATGACTGTGGAGAACAGCACCCCACACGCCACCACGGGTACGACTGTGGAGAACAGCACCCAACAGGCTCTAACAAGTACGACTGTGGAGAACAGCACCCCACAGGTCACCACAGGTACGACTGTAGAGATCAGCACCCGAAAGGCCCCCGCAAGTACGACTGTGGAGAACAGCATCCCACAGGCCACCACAGGTACGACTGTGGGGAACACCACCCCACAGGCCACCACAGGTACGACTGTGGAAAACAGCACCCCAAAGGCAACCACGGGTACGACTGTTGAGAACAGCACCCCACAGGCCACCACAGGTACTACTGTGGAGAAAAGCCTCTCAGAGGTCGCCACAGGTACGACTATGGAGAACAGCACCCCACAAGTCACCATAAGTACGACTGTGGAGAACAGCACCCCACAGGCCACCACAGGTACGACTTTGGAGAACATCACCCCACAGGCCACCACAAGTACAACTGTGGAGAACAGCACCCCACAGGCCACCACAGGAACGACTGTGGAGAACAGCACCCCACACGCCACCACGGGTACGACTGTGGAGAACAGCTCCCAACAGGCCCTAACAAGTACGGCTGTGGAGAACAGCACCCCACAGGCCACCACAGGTACGACTGTTGAGATCAGCACCCCACAGGCCCCCGCAAGTACGACTGTGGAGAACAGCACCCCACAGGCCACCACAGGTACGACTGAGGGGAACAACACCCCACAGGCCCTAACAAGTACGAGTGTGGAGAACAGCACCCCACAGGCCACCACAGGTATGACTGTGGAGAACAGCACCCCACAGGCCACCACAGGTACGACTGTGGAGAAAAGCCTCTCAGAGGTCGCCACAGGTACGACTATGAAGAACAGCACCCCACCGGCCACCACAAGTACGACTCTGGAGAACAGCACCCCACAGGCCACCACAAGTACGACTGTGGAGAACAGCACCCCAAAGGCCACCAAAGGAACGAGTGTGGAGAACAGCAGCCCAAAGGCAACCACGGGTACGACTGTGGAGAACAGCATCCCACAGGCCACCACAGGTACGACTGTGGAGAACAGCACCCCACAGGCCACCACAGGTACGACTGTGGAGAACAGCACCCCACACGCCACCACGGGTACGACTGTGGAGAACAGCACCCCACAGGCCACCACAAGTACAACTGTGGAGAACAGCACCCCACTGGCCACTACAGGAACGACTGTGGAGAACCGTACCTCACAGGCCACCACAGGAACGACTGTGGAGAACAGCACTTCACAGGCCCCCGCAAGTACGACTGTGGAGAACAGCACCCCACAGACCTCCGCAAGTACGACTGTGGAGAACAGCACCCCACAGACCTCCGCAAGTACGACTGTTGAGAACAGCACCCCACAGGTCCCCGCAGTTACGACTGTGGAGAACAGCACCCCACAGGTCCCCTCAAGTACGACTGTGGAGAACAGCACCCCACATGCCCCCGCAAGCACGGCTGTGGAGAAGAGCACCCCACAGGTCCCCGCAAGTACGACTGTGGAGAACAGCACCCCACAGGTCCCCGCAAGTACGACTTTGGAGCGAAGCACAGTCAACATACCATCTTCTGGTAGGAAGTAGCATTTCCTTAGCTTTTTTCTCAAGTTCACCATTTAGTACAGCTTGAAGCTTCGGTCATGACCCTTTTCAAGGATAAGGCTTCGACCATTGCAATTGAATTTTTTGTTTCTTGTTGAGGGCTTTAAAGTCGCTTATAACATTGACGGTGTCACGAGACATGAATTCTATTTCTATGAAGTCTAAAGAATGTCATGTTTTTTTAGAGTGTCCACCTGGCTACACCGCACACAAAACTTCGAAATCATGCTTCAAGGCGTACAACCAAGAGAAGACCTACAGTCAGGCCAGGCAGGTGTGTGCAGCGGACGGGGGACTCCTCGCCATGCCGAAGGACAGAGAGGTGGACAACTTCTTGAAAAAACTCAAGAACGCCGTGGATCCCAACTCTCCTTTCTGGTTCGGCCTGAACAATCAGAACGGAGAGAAAGGGTGGGCGTGGGAAGATGGGACTCCATACAGCCCAACCGCAGACTGGA